TTTCTTTTCATCCTAAATCCTTCACATCATGTCCTGGTCCCCTCAGATGCCACTTCCTCCTGGCAGAAGGGTCCATTTCCCTCGCTGGGGAGGCACTGCGTACTCTGTTGCTTTTATTCTAATCTGTCTTCTTTCCACACTGGAGTGGTTGAGAATGACAAGTCCTTGTTCTACAGGACTTTGCACAAAATGATTTCCAGTCTGTGTTTCTATCCCTGATGGGTTCTAAGTGGCCTTTGCTTTCCTTGGTGGTTCTTCACTCTGGTCCCCCCCACCCGCCCTGCAGAAGGTATTTAATAGGTGCCAACAGTGTGTTAGGCCTTGGGAGATACTGAGAGGGTGCTACGACATCTCTGCGTCAGGAAATGTTTCATCTAAAGGCTGGACATGCAGGGAGGGAGGAGTGAGGAGTTGCAGGAGACCTGGTCAACGTGTCCCTGGGCGCCAGGGGTGAGAGGAGGCAGAGATCCCAGGGCTGGGCACAGGAGACAGTGGGAGCTGCCCCCGCCTGGATGCGTAGGCAGGCTCTGGCTGGGGGAACAATGGGGTGAGAGTGGGTGGAGTGTGCAGGGAGGTGACTGAGGGCTGGAAATAAGGATGCCTGGTTTGCGGTCAGACCGCACCTCTGCCTCCCTGTGGTCTCCCCCCACACCTGCCATATCCTGACCTCACTGTCCGTCTTACTAAGATTGTCTGTTGTCCCAAAAGAAACAAGGGACTTTGCTGTTCCAAGCGAGCCCTATCTTGTTATTGTCAGTAGAATCCAAGTGCAGTTTCCACCTGAGTAAACTCAGCCCTTCCTTTCCACGCTCTGCCTCACCCGTGCAGGCGCCACCCTGTGTGTGATCTGCCAGGACCGGAGCTCACTGCGCCAGACCGTTGTCCGCCTGGAGCTTGAGGACGAGTGGCAGTTCCGACTGCGTGACGAGTTTCAGACGGCCAATGCCAGAGAAGACCGTCCACTCTTTTTTCTGACCGGACGACATATCTGAGGATAGCAGCAGGTTTTCGGGAAGAGTGGAGTGCACAGCACGCTCACCCTGAGCTGAGGCTAAAGGACATTCTAGAAACCCAGGGTGTCAGACTGGAACAGACCCCAGGCCCTGCTGCACAGCCCCTCAGGGGGCGCTGAGGTCCAGAGGTCCTGGTGTGGGAAGTCAGGAGGACTCGGAGGAGGACTCGGAGGAGGCAGGATCGAGGACAGACTCCCCAGTTCCGGGCTGGATGTGGCCCTGGGCTGCTGTGAAGTCCATTTCATGAAGAACAAAGTTTTGCTTCCTATCATGCCACCCACGTGCTTCCATGGACAAATCAGACATTTCCCTAGGTTCTAATGAATCTTGAATTATTTTGTAGAGCTGCCAGTATTTCAGGCAGTGGTTGGTAATTCAGCTAAGTAGGTTTCCCTATCACCTTCTACAAAGCAATATTCCAAAGGAACATTTTAACTGTAAAGGCTGGAGACAGAAAAAAAAATAAGAAGCAGATCTTTGTAAGAATTATTTAACTGCCTACAAGTTTTTTCTTTTAGAAGCTAGCCCAAAGGCATCAAATTTAATAAAATAAAACAGATTGTTTTACTTCAGAGCAAATATGATTCTATTAAAATAGTATAGGGTA